CATAGCATAGTAGTGCCTCACGTGATAAGCCTTTAACAATCAGGAATTTATGAAATACCGAATGGCCGCCTATAGAGATTGGTAGATCCACCTGTCCAACTACAAACAAATCGTGCCCTGAGGCAGACTGAAAGACTTGAGTATGATTTTGACTGAATGAATGGCCATAGTAAGGTTTTAGTTGTTTCCAAAACAAATCACTAATGAGTGAAGTCATTGTGCTAGTATCTATCAATGCATTAACTGGTATCGAACCTATGTTAGTAGGGCAGAGTGGAGCTGTACGAGTAGAGGGATCAGTATAGTAATACTACGGACACTACGTTGAGACACATGCGGAAACGATGCTCGTCTCACTGTCTCGAATTGAGATGAGCAATGCCATTTCCCTGCATGCTGCGTTGAGTTCCTGTTTCATGTAGCATCCTTAAGCGACATAGGCGCTATGGGTGACCAATCTTATGACAATATTGACATATCATCTTACCATCCGGTGTTCATGTGTACTGTGAGTATTGCTTGTCTGAAGCTGCGTTGTATGGTGCACGGGCATCACCTGATCTATTGTAATGTGTCGGAGCCGTGTGGCGACTGTAGTCCTGGTAGTTAGGCACACCTAGCTGAAATCTGGCTGGCAGCGGTCGCAAATTGTATTGCGGAAATGGTGGTGAAGGTTGTAGTTGTGGGCGTCTAGCAGGTAACGAATCATTGTTCCTTTGTCTTTGTTGCTGACGATCCGAGCGATCAGTATTGCTTGTAGAATGGTGTTCCGGCTGACGGGCTTGCAACATTTCAGTGACTAAAGCACGTAGCTCTTGAATCTGTTGTTGAGTTGTCTTATTAGCCTCCACTAGTGAGATTTCCACAGTATCTTGCTGATTGGAGCGCATTCGAACCTCTATGTCTAACGCGCTCTCTGTTATTGCAAGATGCACAGCCTTGGAAAATGTCTTAGGTCTTTGTTTGACCAATACTCTTTTAAGTGCGTTTGATGCTATGCCATCCACGAACTGGTCTATGAGACGAGCTTGTAAAAAAATGTCAGTTTCCTGTATAGTGCCAAATGCGGTGCGTGCGTGTGCCTCAAGTCGCTTTGCATATGATTGTATCGATTCATGTGATTTCTGCTTATCCCGTTTGAATTTTTGAAGGGCAATTGCAACACTACCCGAGTCAGTATAACGTTTCTTCAGAAGCTTAGACAATTCTGTCTAGCCAATAGTCGGTGTTACACTTAATAGTTCTGCCACATAGCTAGCAGGCTCACCACTTAAAAGTCGCAGTGCCAGTCTCGCACGTCTGCCATCATCTCGTTCATCAATAATTAAAATCTATCTTTCAAGGTTTCAAATCCACTCGGCAAATGACACTGGCGTATCATCGCGCCTCGTAAATTCACGAAACCCGTCAACCAAAATCAAACTCTGAATCTCCTTAATCAGCGAAATTATGTGCAGGTTAGGAAACGTGTCTTCTTCAACAGATGTGTCGTCTGTTTCGTCAGCTGACACGTCAAATAATAGATAATTTGGTTGGAGTGGGTGTTTAGTAGTCATAATGAAGGGGGTAGAGGTTGAACGGTGTATGGGGGTAGCAATACGCCGCTCAGCGCGAAGGGGGGTGGAAAGAGTAGAAAAACGCGAGTATGACACACTCAGCACGCGTCGAGAACCAGTATACACAGCAAACAAGCACACGCGTAAAGCAATACAATCACAGACACAAGAATTCCGTAAACTACAGAATAGAAAACGTTGCACTCACATAGTAAATAACATGTTGCAGTCCGAACAGTGTACTGTACAGTTGAACAGCTGATCGGTGACAGAAACGGCGCGTAGAATGCTAGCCCGATGAGTATGCAGACACAAGGTAAGAAAACTAGCAAACATACATGGTCAGATAGGTAATAAAAATAGCGAAGCACAGCCGTAGCGCTGGTCTACGACACCAATATAGCTAAGGCCTGAGGCTTGCTGTAGGTAGTCACTACCGTGTATGAGTTGTAAACTCTCACTTAGTGTGCTACGCTAAATACCACATAAATGACAATAAGCAGAGACTTGAGAGTATTGAATAAAACTTTTACTTTATCAGTTAACAGATTATCCAGTCAACAGCTATACAAATGACGATCAAGCAATGTTAAACAAAGATTTTCTTACGTATGTAGCGGTGCCTGCTCGGTAGGTGCGTGTGGTCTACGCAACTCAGTTGACTTTGCTTCTTACTCAAAAATACCGCTATATTTATACAAAATGTGTGGGTCGCGACTTATCTTGCGTCATTCGTTAGGTCGCGCCTTTTTTTGGACTAGAGGGTACTATGACGAAAAGGTGAGCGAACAAGAGGGTGATACTTGTGATTTTATGCCTTTTTTATATCCATTGTCTACATTCTTACCGCAGATTGCATAGATTCACAGAAGGCCTACGTTCTATCCAGGCTGTTGAACTGTCGTTAAACTTGTAAGAAGCGTCATCTTTTTTAATTGTCCAAAAGACCTGATGGCATACATAGTTAAATTCTAACATAGTCGTGACATTTCTCTAAGTTTAACACAAAAATTACCACGGCCGAGAGGGTCCGTCATTATAACAGCGTCGGGAGCTGTCAGGCACCGTGGAACCGTGTCTGTCTTCTTGGCGAAACTGTTCGGTATTTACACAACTGGAGGAATGCATGGCCTGAGCGTGGTCAAGGCCTTGTTGACGATGGTGGTGCAAGACGTGTCGTCATCTTCAACAGTTTATGGGTGACTGAATGTGAGAAGCTGTGGACGCTTCTTGAGTCTGGTGCATGTGGGAATTGCGGCAGGTCGATTTATATATTCTTCATATTTCCCATAGTTCACATTTGTCGGCGGCGTTCGTTGTTTGATCTTCATCAGTCGGCATGTGACATCAAGCTGTGACGTGTTTTCTCGCGGGCTTGTGTAGGTGCTAAAGTGTCACTCTGCCGTCGTGGGTGATAACTTTTACTCGTGTTCCAGTGACTTAGTTTCTTGGGATATTCGTGGTGCAACTTTCACCTGTTACCTTGACTGACATTTGTCGACTAAAATAATCATGACGTTATGCTACGCTTATACCCGTGTCGCTCGCTGCTCATATGTTACCTTGAACTAAAAATAACTATGACGTGATGTTGCTTAAGTTAAACGACCCGTGTCGCTGGGTTTTTATACTAGGTTAATTAATTCGATATCTACGTCACTACATAGATTCTTATTTTCTTAAGAAAAAAACGTGTTTGTTGCTGGTAGAATATTGGTGCCGTCCATTATTAATATAACATATGTGCATATAATTATGTCTAAATGATTACAATCTGGACAAATACAACTCTTATTCTAGGTTATCTTATTTCTTGGTATGCTCTTTATACCTAATAAGCATCAACAAAACTATATGGTTTGAAAACACCACAAACATAATGCCTGGCCAGGTTTCTGGCCTGGCCAGTCATGAGGAAGGTATGGTACATACCAGCTAGCTCAATTTGATCATATGCAGTGAATCTGCACTGTTCTGTATTTGTGCACATTACTCCACTGAACTTTTTAACTGAACTTTATCAAATAAGAACCTGTTTCAAATTTTAGGCTAAAACAGGTTCCTATGTCAAGGGGGTTTAAATAGAAAATCTTTGCCTAACAATTTAATTTTTAGCGGAATCAGAATTCGCTGACAGCTATTGCTATTAAAGGGTTATTGACCCAGTGTGAACTGATGCATGACAATATCTCCATTAATCTCATAATCCGGAAGCTGCATGCACAGCAGCAACAGTGGTGTTAGAGTTATTCGGCGGAGTTACTCATCATGACATGGCTTTGATGCCACATGTATTTCTCGTTCCAAACTGGGCTAAAATCAAGGAAAAATCCAGTAACTAATATGTGTGTGTGTGTGTGTGTGTGTGTGTGTGTGTGTGTGTGTGTGTGTGTGTGTGTGTGTGTGTGTGTGTGTGTGTGTGTGTGTGTGTGTTTGTGCGTCATAAACGTGTTATTTTCAACCAGTATAATATCAGGAGGGAATTAAAAAAAACTTTCAATAATTTTGCAAACCCAACTTTACGATACGTGCAAACACGCTCAGGAATATATAACTACACAGTTTCTGTGGTATTTCCCGTTTGACAGACGAATGGTATGACCATTTTTTTCATGTCAAATTCCAGAATTATTAATTTGGTCGTGTTTTAATTAATATCCCACGTGTAATTTAACTATTGTGTCTAGAAATAGTTTGCATTCGTGCTGTTGTGTATATGCCTTTGCAGGCCCGTAGCCAGCTTTATATTGCGGGGGGGGGTTCGTTTTTCAATGTTGGCAATTTGTCTCGGGCAGGGACGTGTACAGGATTTGTACGAGGGGGGGGTCCTAACTGTAACTCAGAGTCTAACTGTAAGTTCTGAGCACGCGTAGGGGGGGTCTGGGGGCCGCTCCCCCCGAAATTTTTAAAATTAGGACCCCTCAGATGCGTTTTCTGCGGCGAGCAACGAGCGGGCGTTCGGCTCCTGACCACCCCTGTACACGCCCCTGCTCGGGCGCGAAGCGACAGGCGAGGGAGCCAAGGCACCGAGCGGGGGAGGGTGTGGAGAGGGGGTGTTCCACTGTTCACCCTCCTGCACGATGGAGATTTTGCAATTATTACACTAAAATGGAGCGACCTGAGGTGAAATTCTTGCAAATTTGAAACAAAAATTTTTTTGGCTTGGGGGGCTCGGGGGGGGGGTTCGTTCGAACCCCCGAACCCCCCCTGGCTACGGGCCTGCCTTTGGACAAACACCCTAACCCTAACCGGGAGTAGATTTATATTCGGTTAAAAATATGCTGATGCGAGTTGAGATTATGAAAAAAATACATGTGTGGTTTGACTTATTGTACGGACATTAATTTATGGTGTTGAAATCATGTTAGCTTATGTTGAAGGCCACTGCAAAATCGGAAGAATATTTAGTAGCAAATTTATAACGACAAATACGGAACAAAAGCATAATCGGATTTTCATAGTTTCTATTTTTTGTGATAAAACTGGATAAAACAACACTTTTTACTTTTATTTACAATGACGTAATCACTTTATGTGGCTGTGACGTTGTTATGACGTAGGGCTTCGTCATTAGTGTTGATGTTCGGTTTCACTCTGAGAACAATCTATACAATCATGTATAATATATTGTTCTCAGGTTTCACTGAGGGCGCCATGTTGTGTTTCACCTATATCCCACGAAACCATTATCATGTTTTCTCATTTTGACTCTCGTAGGTAGGCCTACATGACTTTCTTATACTCTTCTCGTCTTCTTTCCTTCTCGTCTTGCCTTTCCCTATCGTCTTATTGTTACAGAGAAAATTTGTTGTAACAAGGAGAATAGCGTTAGGGTATAAATCTAGGATATATATTAACGCGAAGACGCAGCTACGTGGGTAGCGATCATGCATTAATTTTTCCCAGCACCTGGTGCTTCCGATTTTTTCTCAGTACTCAGTGCCTTCTGTCGATGTAGTATTGTTTTAGGAGCGTAGAGAGAGTGTTGTTATACTTAAGAAAGTTGTTGGGTTTCATGTGGAACAACTTGGCGCGGGACACTCCCTTCCACAAGTGACCCCACATGTGATATGCATAGAAACCGCTTAGGTCTACGTTTGCCTTGTTCAATATGGTTCCGTTCGTATCGTGCCATATGCGAGGCGAAACTCGCACGAGTTCGGGGTTCTTTCGCAGCAGCACCGTCGGAACTTCACCCGAGTTGTACAGCCACCTCTCCTCTCGATAGTCCCGGTAGCCTTCTCTCCACAGTTCGAGGAATCTGGCACCAGGTCGCGCCACGAGCGCGCCGGCGTTGATGAGCCCCCTCGTGGCGTCATATCCGGTCTCGATGCCGACGACGCAGTCGTAGCGCCGCAGCGCGTCCATCGGACGAACTACGAACACGTCCATGTCAAAGTACATTCCGCCGTACTTGTGTATGATGTCTATGCGGGCGACATCGGCAATGTGGTTGAGGTAGCCTAGCTTAAGGCCGTACACCTCCTCTACGAGAGGGTAGTACTCGTACTCCAGTATCGGAATGACGCGGAACAACTCGTCGAACCAGCGACCCGTCGGCCGCTTGTCGCCGTGGATGATCATACGATCCGGCCGAAGATTCTCGTATACGGATATCGGACCAAGAATCTTCCAGAACGGCAGCACCGCGTCGTCGGGTCCCTGCATCCAGACATAGTGCACGACGTTTGGAACGACGAAGTCTCGCCTGCTGAGCGCCCTCTGTTGGTGATCGGTGATGAATACTTGTTCGGGGAGTCCGAGCCAGCGTGATAGTCCTGACAAATCGACACCGAAGAAACGGTTCATTAATCGGCACCTTGTAGAATTATTTAATTTATTTACATTGCATTTCTTTATATAGAATAAAGAATCAAATAAAAGTTGTCGAGTAAGAACAGTTAATCTATTTTCATTATCTTCTGCTGCGCGGATGACTGAAGCTGAAGTCAAGCTCTTGTCTTTCATCTCTATCTTACAACGCTCTAATACATGTTAGCGCAAAGCCTCCGCGTCGTTTCAGGGACAGACGTTATATCTTATATATTCATAAACACACGCGCACGCGCACGCACAAACGCACACGCACGCGCACATGCACACACACCCGCACACGCACGCGCACACACACCCGCGCGCGCGCGCACACACACACACACACACACACACATACGCGCGCGCGCGCGCACACGCACACACACCGCACACGAACACACAGACACGTGCGCGCACACACACACACGCACACACATACACACACACACACACACACACACACACACACCGAACGCAACATACAGCACACCATATCCCTCCCGCGCGCAAGCGCGCAACACGCAACTCGGCGCGAGCGCCACGCACGCACCGCACTTCACTGCGCCTACAACGGCACAACACGAGCATCACAAAACACACACACCACAGCGCGACACACCACACACAAACACACAAACTAACACACCCCACACACCTTCACACACATCAAGGCACATACATCAGAAATCGTTGCACAAACACCACACAACCTATATCTATGTGCTGCCTGTGCATTGCTGCTTGTGCACAGTTTGTTACCGCATAATAGTTCGCCCGCAACAATAGCCGAGCTATCCGCACGAGGAGACAAATAACCCTAAATTGCAATAGCTGTCAGCGAACCCAGCTCTCTGCAGCCCCTAAGTAGTAGAAAACGCTATCCTAAAAGTCCACCCCCCATCCGCACGACATCTATCGCTGACAGATCACAAGATCGATTTACCACACACAACACACATCTCTAATGCATCTAGATGTAAGCCCTTAAGTCCAATCCACAGCACCACACACAAGAAGAAATAACCTAGTTCTCCCACACACACAACGAACACCACACACACACACCACATATTAGCGCACGCGATCCCGAAACAACCCCACTCCCATATTCCGAGGAGATCACATCTGAGTTATACTTAATTATTTAATTTACGCTAAATTATAAAAACTTCCATAATCATTTACCGGAATACAGTATCAATACTGGTTAGCGTGTTGCCTATATGACGCTTACGCCCGGATCGTCCATAGCGCAGTCCGCAGTCAAGCTGCTTATTCCCTGTGTCGCGTCGAGCGACTGCAGTTCGCTTTGCTAACTGTCGCTGCGACTTTTTGAACTGTTTCGCCACGTAATCGAATGTGCACAATCACGTACACCGTCCATAGTACCCGCAGAGATACATCCCGCAAACCACGCCGCGCTGACTTCCTAACCGTACTCATACTGCCGCTCTTAAACGCGCATTCCACCAACACGCAACGAAATATATGTACGTGTGCGTGTAATCAAGTTACCGCTTCCGATGCGGTGTGCGATGAATACAACGCCACACACGCCACAGCTGAATATGAAAAGAGAGTGTGATCGGACCAGATGAAGGGAAGTCGCGGATTCTCACGCTTAGTAATTTCTACGCAGGCGAGCAAATCCTCCATCAACTTATTATATCATCCGTAAACGAAAATCCGGCCGCTCGTGTGTGCACTTTGGATGAGGACTCAGACGGTAAGGCGCAATGGTAGATTGCAACCACCCAAACTCACCTAATCCACATATATACTGTATAGTTTATGTATGCACGCTGCGCACTATCGACTGGGCTGACAGGTTTCATGCACCGTGCGCAATTTTGTTCAGCGCACAACGCGTCTACTTACGTGGTCTGCTGCACGGTTTCCATATAGTCATCACCGCTGTTTGGCCGTGCGATGCCCGGACCAAGTGTCTACGGAGGGCCCGTGCTAACCTGTCAATACGGAACACACTACTTGTACTACTTGTACAATAGGCTCACGATATGGGCTTGCGGAGCCCAAAATAGCGAAAAAGAAATATATTTTGTTAAAATTATGATTTTGATTATAGCGATGTGTTGGATACCAAAGTGCCGCGGAGGCGAGCAGCGCTCATCTTAAACGTCTACGCGTGACTCGTGTGGAGTGTGGATTCTAGTAAACCCTGTTAGTCCCGCCAAAACTGTGTTACACGATACCGCCGACAACAGTGAATGCACAGGGATGTGTATCAGGGAACCTTCTCAAAGAATGTTCGGCTGGGATCGGATGAAAGTGCAACGAGAATGGCGCCGTACGTTAAGATGTCGCAGATAAAGATGGAAGCTCCCAGCGTAACCTATAGCAACATACCATCTGCAAGACAGAATAAGTAAGCCACTCAATCGCATTTACCCTACGCAAGCCTACAGGCGCAATAGAGAGCTGCCAGCCTGTAACGCAATAAAGCAGGCAAAAACACAGCAGTAACCACCACAACATCACATGGCATAGCCACTGGCATTCATACGACATGTAACAACTACACGTACACGAATGCCATCGAATTATACGATCAAGGAAAACAAATTCAAACCCTTGCTCCTTCAACGCTAAATTAGCTTTTGAAAATTTCACCTTGACATTGTAGCCTCATACATCCAGCCACTGTATAAATTCTACTAGCAAACCCGGCAGTCAAATCTTCTAAACAGACAGTCAAGCAAAAATCCAATGTTTAAACCCCCTCATTTGAAGGGTGCATTAAGGTATCTGGACACTCCACGACAGTACTCTATCGCGGGTCAGCAGAAAGTAATTTCATGGTTCCTTCATGCAATAATGCCATAAAAAAGCTAAGGTCAATCCGGCTGAAACAAAATTCTTCTCAACTCGCTCCGTCAGAGCCAATATCGTCCTCAGAAAATGCTAAAATCTGCCTCGTGAGCCCATTGACCTCTTGACCTTGACCTCAACTTTCGGCACATGATGGCTTTCCTACCATGAATGCTATATGCACCAACCATCACGGGGCGCAGCCTAGCCGACCGTTTAGATTGTGCCGCAATTCTGCATTTCCTTCGCCTAATACCTTAAGTAAGGAGTGAAAATGTCCCCCTTCTTTTAGCACCTCGTGACCTCTGACCTTGACCGCCCCAGCTTCGACACCCAACCGTTTATGACGATCTCCCCCAACTGTGCCAATACTTGCCGTACGTCGAGCTGTTAACGATTTGTCGCCAACTGTTGACAGACGAGGACGGACGGACGACGGACGGACGGACGGACGGATGGACGACAATCAGCGATTTACATAGCTGCCATCTGACTATGTCAATACAGCTAAATAATAAATACATAATATTAACAAACATAATATTGTCTAACCCAGTAGTGGTTGAACTGCGATATAACTTCTCATACTCAACTTACAAGCGCGCCCCAGTCTCCCAAGATACCCATGAGGTTGCATGGCTCACAGATTAAGTTTTGCATGTCTAGTATCTCCAACAAGACGACCTAACAAGAACACAATACGAAATTGCTGTGTACACAGAGTCCCATGAGTGAATTGTAATAATCAATCGTTTGTAACAAGACAGATGTAGGAACGCGTTAGTTATGTACTCGAATGTAATCAACGACTGTTGCATTCCCGCATCAGATACACTCAAGGGTGTATGCGAAATGAACACCTGATTTTCCATTTCATTCTATCGATGCTAACCACTAGGTGCCCACCTCTGTACAGCTTTCTCCATATTATAACGATGCACTAAACTTCAGAGCGCAAATTTCGATCCCCGGAGACGTGGTAAATGAACCGTGTTCGGACTTTAAACACCACGGACAGCGATGGAACGTCCAAAATACCATTTTATTACAACAACAACTATAAAATTTGTATAGTCACATAATTAGGTGCGGAAAATTCATGATTTCTTGACTTTCAGATAAGAGATACATCTCATCTATAAATACAAACGTGTGATTGATTCCGAGTCATAATCAATAAAAGTTTACTTTCTCTGAAAACTACTACATCCAAAAGTAGTCGAGTTATCCATATCAATCATAACGACAGAGTCTTCCCCTATCAGCAACCAAGTAACCGTGGAGACATTCTCGAATCGATTAAAATCAAACCGACTATTTTGTTAACGTTGAGTTTTTAGTCGAGACTCATACGATCACGAACAAACACTACATTACGATGGGTATTGCTTCCGGGAAGTAAGCTTCAAGTAATTCCTACACGCGCGTTCAAGTCGCGCGGACCCCCCATACTCGCTATATATTGGTATTATATAAATA